ACAACAGCTTGTAGAACAATGAACCAGAGCTCAAACTTCGGCATATTTTGTCAAAGTAGATTGCGAACAAGAAAGYACAAAGCCACAGTCAATAAAGAAATTGCCAGAATCTACATTGGCTGTGGTGTGAATGTTTATTTCATGGTTGAGTAAAAGTAATGACGATTTTGATATGCTCCACATCAGCATGATCATGGTTTGCGCACTCAGTCACGCAACATAGCGTGACAGTGTGACACAATATTCAAATATTAATAATAATAATCTTATAATCTAAGCTTATAAAGCGCTTATATAACTTTTTCTAAGCGCGAATAAAAAGGTAAAAAGTAAGATAAAGAAAGTTAAAATACAGTTACAGATCATAAGTTTGTTTAAATAAGGAGGTTTTAAGAGCAGTTTTAAAATTATCAAGTGAAGAAATGATGGGGGTAAAGATGGGAGTGAATTCCACAGAAAAGGGCCATCAACACTCAAAGAACGGGGAGGTAAAAACAGTATCTAACTAAGGGAAAAACTATTATAACTTATTAGCAATCTAAATTGATTCATATCATAACTTTTTATTTGGTGCACCTTTGGTTTCTTGCGTGACGATCGGCTCCCGCTCAAAAGTCTTCAATGGACTAAATGAGCGGTAGTTTTTTAATAAATRCATAAAAAAATAACTCCAAGATTTGCGTTAGCAATTGAAGAGATATCCCAGCATTATTACATGTAAAAAATGACGGCCATTTCATCGCTATCGTTAGTGGTAATTTTTTTTCCAGAATAACGCAACTCTGGTATTTGATCACGCGACCGCGTGACTAAGTTGTCTCCAGTCCTTCGTGACATGATAGCGTGACTACTCTGAATCACTCTGTAGTACTGTAGTCAAAATAGATCCTGGCGCCAATTCTGTCAATATGGCATCAAAAACGGCGAAGTACGAGCTGACTCCAGGCGAAGCGGAGGAAGAAAACACAAAACCAATCACTGAAACCCCTCAAACACAGCCGGCCAGATGGACTCTCTGGCTAGTGTATTCAACAGCTGTTTGCATTCTCGGTTCCTCGCTTCAATTTGGCTACAACACCTCGTGCATCAATGCGCCAGAACAGGTTGGTGTGTAAAACCGTTGGAGTTGCTTTATTTCGGTTTTTCTCTCGTTTAATGCTCTGTATTCTATTCTTTATCGAGCCATAAGCTCTATTGCTTTGTTTT